TGGGAGGCAGATTCAAGCTGCTGGAAAGGAACAACGCGAAAGAGTTTGCAAATCACAAGTAAAGGTATATTTCTCATCACAGTGTTTATCTAAATACAAAGCTGAATCCTGAATGGGAATTGAAACTTGTTAAATTCCGCCGTGCATGTTTAAGTAAATTCCCAACACTTGCTACATGTACACTATGGTGCACATTTTAGTTTACACTTTGCCACTTAATATTACCCCGTTGGACTGTTTAAATTTGAAGTAGTTTTCTCATCTAATTGACACTTGGCAACATTGCAAGTTTCAAACAACGTGTAAAAAATTAGTATACAAATTGAAAAGTTCAATCGGTAAGAAACTTTCAACATGTACACTATGGTGTACACTCTAGTTTACACTTTTCCACGTGACATTATCCTGTTGGACAGTTTAAATTTAAAACAGTTTTCCCGTCCAATTAACACTTGACGTCAATGCAAGTGTCAAACAACGTGTCAAAAATTAGTGGACAAATAGTAAAGTTCAATCGGTAAGAACCTTGCTACATGTACACTACGATATACACTTTAGTAGTTTACACTTTACCATGTGACATTACCCTGTTGGACAGTTTAAATTTCAAACAGTGTTTCCATCCAATTGACACTTGACAATAATGCAAGTGTCAAACAATGTGTCAAAAATTAGTGTACAAATAGCAAAGTTCAAACGGTAAGGACTTTGCTACATGTACACTATGTTGTACACTTTAGTTTATACTTTGCCACGTGATATTACCCTGTTGGACAGTTGAAATTTCAAACAATTTTCCCATCATTTGACAGTTTACAACAATGCAACCGTCAAACAACGTGTAAAAAATCAGTGTACAAATACCAAACTTCAATCGTTATGGGCCTTGCTACATGTACACTATGGTAGGCACTGTAGTTTACACTTTATCACGTGACATTACCCAGTTGGACAGTTTAAATTTCAAACAGTTTTCCCATTTAATTGACACTTTGTAACGCCCCGAATTCTCGGAAACTGAAGCGTTGAAATAATATTCGTTTCTTTCTTTGGTTCGACCCTTTTGACGCTAGCCAAAGTATTTATAAATCCAAATTTTTTTTTAAATATATAAAAATATAATGGAAGGTAGTTATCTATATAACTTAGGCAAATGTAGCAAAATTTGATTTTTTGTAAAAGATTTGAAGACAAATCGACAGTTACAGATTTAACGACAGCGGAAGAAAAATATTTTTGGCCTAGCAAATGTCTATTAAAATTTATGAAATTTTTACAGGGACTAAATCATTCATATATGTACCACATATAAAAATTTGGGGTTTCGACGATAATGTTTGAAGCACGAAAATATTACTCGAATATGCTGGACAGGAATCTCGGATTCGACACGATGCAGTTTACTAAAACGGGCATAACTTTATTTTTAGATAATATTTTCTAGAAATTCCAAAGGCCACTATTATAAGACTCATAGACCTTTCAAACCCCACTGATTTCACTTAAAAACAAGCATCGTAACCCAAGTTATGCTATTTTCAACTAGAAGGACAGAAACTGAAATTTCCACCCAGCATAAAATAAAACTTCATACAAATTAATCCAACACTTTTAAATTCTTGTTAACATGCACTGTCTAAAAATGGAACAAAATAAACATTAAAAATCATTTCTAAAAGTTCATCTAAGTTCCATGAAATTTTTACATAAATAGAAATATTCACTAGAAATTGAAAGAATTAGAGATTGCCGAACACTTGCCACTATGCCAACCATTGCCATGCCTCGATCTTAACCTGTAAAATTATTTGTAGGGATGAGTACTATAAATAATATTCAGTAGGAAACACTTAAGTAAACGGTAAAAATATATATTTTCAAAAATGCAAACTTTGGTCAATTGTGTCACCGTCAATTTCAAGCGAATTGGTGATCAGTCAGTCCGCTTACTCTTAGGTTTTGATAACCCCATTTCATTTGTCATAATCATCTCTTCATCTCTTGTTTAAACCACCAAACGGTGATTCCATCATGAGCAACACAATAACACATTTAATGCAAACGAAAATATATAAATCTTACATCACTTACTTAAGTGCCGAAACACCCCTACCTTAATGCTTGGAATTTGAAATATCCTTTCGTGTCCAAAGAATGAAATGCAGCGTACGTCTTGCCCTTTTCTTTAGAAATTTTCAGATTCAAAGTTCTTTTTGTCTATGGAAGAAGGGGCAAAATAATTTGATGCATAAGTATAATAGGGAGAGAGAGAGAGTGGCTAAAGAAGTTGAGATTTCAGCTTTGAAAAAAATGAACTCACGACTTAAACTAAAAGAGACGGTTTCATGGTAGTGCAAAAGTGGATGTTAAAATGCACTTAGTGGGTAGGTTGAAATTGAAATTGTTTAGATAAGAGTTAAAATGCCAAATGAAGATAATTGGTGGATTTTTGAATGATGGACGTGCAGGTTACTTTTCAAATATAAAGTTTTTTTTTTTCCAAATGATGTGGCTAGCAATTAATTGATGTGGGGAAATAAAAAAAAAATGGTTAGTGGGGAGTTAAAATGATAATTGTTGGCAGTTAACAAAATGGAGATTAATATGCTAAGATAGGGTTGGTTAGAATTGGAGGTTACAATGGATAATAAAGTGGGGGTAATGGATAAAATTTGGAGTTGAAATTTTATTTTCAAATGAATGATCGGGGACGGTTTTGGCATTGACAAAAATGGAAGTTTATTAGAATGATAAGTTGGAGAATAAATGATGGATGATGAAACATGCAAGTAATTTGTCCAATTTAAAAAAAAAAATAGTTTACATAATGGAAACAAAAATGGTAGTATTAAAATAAAGTGTGTCGTAAGAAAAATAATGTAGCCAAATTAACATAAAATTTTGTCGGTTAAAAGCGATTTTAACACCTTGTAAAATTTAAGAAAATCAAGTACGTGGAATTTTACTTTCGTGACCAAAATTTAATTTAGACTATTAGGAAGTGTCGTAGCGACAAAATAATATAACCCCAATTATATTTGAGTCCTACAAGAAAATTTTATTTGAAATGAACAAAACACTTTTTTTTTTTACGGTCGCTACAACTCTCCCTACTTAAAATAATTTCGTCTTCGAAATTTAACTTACTTGTTTTAAGAAGATCGGGGTACTTGGCTAAAATGTCCTCTTCTCATTCCCAAGTAGCCTCATCCTCACCATGTTTACTCCACTGGACTTTGACTAGTGGGACTTTTCGATTTCTCAAGACATGGTCCTTTCTCTCCAGAATCACTGCAGGAGCTTCCTCATAAGTCATATCACTTTGGACATCCAGTGATTGAACATTCACCACATGATTAGGATCCGGAGTGTACTTTCTCAACATAGAAATGTGAAATACGTTGTGCACTACTGAAAGCTCGGGTGGCAATGCTAATCGATATGCCACATGCCCAATCTTTTCAAGAATCTCAAATGGACCGATAAATCTAGGGCTTAGCTTCCCTTTCTTTCCAAATCGTAGTATTCCTTTCATTGGTGCCACTTTGATAAATACTTTCTCTCCAATCACGAAAGTCAATTCTTTCCTCCTTTTGTCAGCATAACTCTTTTGTCGATCTTGGGCAGTCTTAATTCTTGATCTAATTTTATTTATAGCCTCCACAGTCTTCTCGACCAATTCTGGGCCTAAAATTTTCCTTTCACCAACTTCATCCCAGTATAACGGCGAACGACATCGTCTACCATACAAAGCCTCATATGGGGCCATGCCAATAGTGGCTTGAAAGCTATTGTTGTATGCGAATTCAACCAACGGCAAATGATCTTCCCATTTACAACTCAAATCTAGGACACAAGCTCTCAACATATCCTCAAGAACTTGTATAGTTCGTTCAGATTGTCCGTCAGTCTGAGGATGATATGCAGTACTAAATGTTAACTTGGTACCCATAGCTTTCTGAAGACCTATCCAAAACTTCGAAGTAAACCTCGGGTCTCTATCTGATAC